AAGGGGCCTTGCACTCCGCGCCCCGGCTCTCCCCTCCCTGGGGCGGTGGGTGCGGCCGCGACGAGCACAGCCCCGGTTCGGCCTCCGAAGTTCCCAGTCCCGGAAGTTCCCCTGAGGAGCCGCGGGACGCAGGTAAGCGCACCCGGCCGCCCCGTCAGCCCGCCTGTGCCCTCGCGGGCGCCCGCCCGGACCTGGACGCCGGGGCGACAGGTGGCGGCGGGGTGCAGAGCCTCGCAGCGCGTTCTGGCCTGGGCCCGCCTCGTCCACCGCCCCCCGTTACTCCGGTAGTTTTGACCCCGAGGTCGGCCGACGTGAGTTCGAATCCCCCCTCCGGCGCTGGTGCACTTGGCCGCTACACAGAAGGGCCCGCTGCTGCCTTACCCGCGTGCCCCGAGGGCCCGCCGCTGGCCTCCGCGTCGGGCGGGGACACCGCTGGGGGCGAAGGAGCGCGGTGCGCGCCGCGGGGAGCGCACAGCCTGGTGGGAAAGACCCGCGCCCTGAAGACAGAAAGCGCTCCCTAGGGCGCGGGGCGAGCATTCAACAGGTGGTCCCGTCTGCAGGGGGCGCTGGGGTTCCAGCTTCTATATGAAGCCAAGGACTCCAGGGTGGAGGGCCGCAGAGCAGACACATCTTGTCCGGAGAGACTGTGACCCAGTTGAGTGAAGAGGAAAAGTCAGTGTGGGGCTGGTCTGCTCAGAACTGGGGGGACAGGGGGTTCCTCTGTAAAATGGGCGTCTTCGCACTCCCTGAAGGTGGAGGGCGACCGGAAGTGACCTGGCGGTGTTCCAGGTGTGCAGGGAGTGAAGGCACGTGGGGGCCTTTCTGGATAGGATGTTGATCCTAATAAAGGGTGTCCCAAAATTCACGCAAGAAGTAATTTTGATATTAAACACAGGTTTGTAATTAAAAATTGTAAATTTTTTATTGATTCATAAAGTATACAGTATAGGGTTATGTATGGAATAGCATATTGGGTAAATGGCCTCCACGGCTTTGCTGGCACATACGCACTCTTTTGTTATTGCCTGAGCAGCCGCATTTTCGAAGAAGAATGGTCCGATGATGCCTCCAGCCCAAAAATCCGCACCAAACAGTGACACGTTGTGGATGCATTTGTTTCTCAACAATCACTCGTGGATTTTCTGAACCCCAAATGCGACAATTTTGTCGATTAACCAAGCCATCAAGATGAAAATGAGCCTCATCGAAATTCAGCCACATTTATGCAAAACGTGGAAAATTTCAACAAAAGAGTATTTGCCAGCAAAGCCGTGGAGGCCATTTACCCGATATGCTATTTCATACATAACCCTATACTGTATACTTTATGAATCAATAAAAAATTTACAATTTTTAATTATAAACCTGTGTTTTCTATCAAAATCACTTCTTGCGTGAATTTTGGGACACCCTTTAAATAGTGAGTGCCTCACGCCCCCTCACCCCCCTCCCTTCCTTGAGTCCTGTTTCCTTGTCTGAGGCTCTCAAACAGCCTGTTCTCTAAAATGATGACTGGTTTGGTCGTTCGTTCTGGAAACATGCAACTGGTGCGCACGGTACACGGGCTCTCAGGATTGAACAGAGTAATCAGACAGGGCCCTGCCCTCCTGGAGCTCAGCTGGGGTGGGCCAGGTGAGGTAGACAGTTCCAGCCTGCAGCGCTGGGTCCCTAGGAGCCCAGAGGAGGAGGTCTGACCCCCTGGCCTTGCCCGGGAAAGCCCCTCTGCTTCCAGCCAGGTGCCCATTTCCCAGAAAGACTCACCTGTTACTACAGCTGGCATGAGTCCCACCCGCCCCACCCCCCACCCCCACACACGCACATAAGGCTCACACTCCTCCACTGAGCATCAGTTACTTCCTTACTTTTATTGGTAGTGTCACCCCTTAAAACTATCCAAAAATCTCCTCGCTGAGGACCCCTGAGATCTTAAAACTCCAGGGATTTCGGAGAGAGATTTGGGCTTCAGGAAACACCTGCCTGCTGTTTGGTGTGTTTTTTTTTTTTCCGCTTGAATGATCCCAATTCCTTCTTTGACTCTGGTACACTGTTGGTGTAAACTCTGGATTTGCTCCATGAAAAGTGTCTGGGAGGCTCAGAGGGTGGGGGAGCACAGTTTAGAGGAGTCTGGTGCCGTTTGTAAGTGGGGGTTAAAAACAACAACAAACCAGAACAGATATTAGCAGAAGGGTGCTGTAGGGAGAAGGAGGGAGGGTAATCTTTGTTTTCCCTCTCAGACCATGTCAGTGCCAGACTGGGAGAGAAGAAAGGGAGCTCTAGGCTTGGCAGTCACAGACGTGGGTTCAAATTCATGTTCGTTACTTCCCAGCTCTGCGAATGACCCTGCGCAGGTCACTTATGGTATCATTGTGCAAGCTGAACACAGTGCTTGGCATATAGTTTGCCCTAAAGAAATAGTAACTTCTACCCTCTTCCCCTAAATGAACTAAAATAGGAATAATAATAGTACCTACTTCAGAGGGTTATTATGGGATCTACTGAGTTGATGTATCTAAAATACATACAGCAGTGCCCAGTATGTAGGAAGTTACTAGTACTGCTATTATTATCACTCTTTATTCTGGGCAAAAACTGGTGAAATGAGGCAGGCAGAGGGCAAGATGGTGGGGGGTTAGGGGA